CACAGCCTCGTCACCACGAATTCGGACCAGGCACATGATCAACTACATGTGTTGGTGACAACATGAGAATTCTGAGAGGAAATTTCGGCAAATTTCAATTGTTTCCCGCATAGTTCTATCTGAGTTTGTATGTAAACCACCAACACTAGGAGGAAAATGAAAATATATTCCAATTTGGATTTAGTGTTGAAAATTTTGTCAGTTTCCCGTCTAACTATACAACTTCACACACGAATAAGGGGACAGAAAAAATTTCCCAAAATTTTCCATGAATTTTCATATTGTCACCATTTGCATATTCTCAAGCGTATATGCAACTCAGTTTAGCAGTGCACAAAAAACCAACGAAAATTTTCCAAATTTTCCCCAAAAATTCCGGTAAATATCCATATTTTCTCACTTTTTTATCATTTTTTCTACCTCAACTACCCCTGAACTTCCTCCTCCTTCTCTTTGCACCTAATCTCAGCATCACCAAAATCCCAATTTTCATATCACGGCCGCCCGTGAAACTCCAATGTTCTCGGGAGGAACTCATTTTCAATTTTCCACGTAAGGCTAGGAACCCATTCTTCAATCAGTCAGTTTCCCATGTAAGTGTCATCACATTAGAAAAAAAATTTCCCCATTATTATCAAATCCTGCGGAACGTTATTTCTCAAAACTCAATAGGTCCCGGGTTCGATCCCTAGGCTCGGCATTTTTATTATTATTATTCCTACAAATGTGTATATATTATTTCAACATTTATGTTTTTTTCCGGATTTTTTTTCAATTCTCAAATCTAAAAATTCTCATCATACTTCTTCTAAGTGGAGTAAATCTTCAGTCGGGCATTCGCATTTTTTCAAAACTCTTCGTGTTATCCATCTAGGCGCGATTCCCCCAACACAATACGCATCATAGCCCATACCGGTTAGGAGGGAAGAGAGAACCTGAAAGTTATTATATAATAAAAATCAATTTTCCTTATTGGAGTTTCACGTGAAGTGGTGAAAAACGCGATATTATTCGCGGTGATATGTAGTAGTCGTGAAATACATTTTCCACTAGTGTTTTTCATATCACTAGGGCCGGCCGTGAAACTCCAATATAATACTTTTAGTTTATATTTAATGATTATGAAATTAATAACTTCATTAATGCAAATTTGACTTTCACCTTAGTGATATGAAAAACACTAGTGAAAAACATATTTCACGACTACTACATATCACCGCGAATATCGGGTTTTTCACTCGAGTTTTACGACGCCATTTTACGTAAAAC